TTCTCATCGCACCTCTCCTCGAGGTGCACACAGACACACACGCGCACCGCTGGGAACCGGAACCACGCCGCTGCTTGGCCCTGGGTACCTGAGGGACGACTTGAAACGCAGCAGGGGCATGGCCCCAAGGCGGGAGCGGCACGGTGCATGCTGGGAGGCGCGGTGCACGCTGGGAGGCGCGCGGTGCAGGAGGCCGGCCTTGGATAACGCGGGGAAGGCCGGACGCAAGGCCCCAGGCCACAGCGAGGGGGGGAGGCTGCCATGACGTGGGGTGAGGGGGTGGGGGGTGGGGGGGCTAGGCACCACCACCCCAGGCCATGAGGAGAGGCGAGGGCGACAAGAGCGGTCCCATTCGTCACTCATGCCCATCCCTCGTCGAGCGCAGCTTAGGCCCGGCCAGGGAGAATACTAACATGTAATTTTTTGGCATAATTTTCACCACCAAACTGTATGCTAGCACGACACTTTATTCCACAGCCCAATCCCAGTGATGAACATATTAGTAGAAGGATTCAAGGACTTCATTCCTTTTCCCAGTGCCTCTCCCAATCCTTGGCTCTTCAAACCATTGTCTTTGGACTTGTTTTTTCATTGCGAAGCACCGATTGTCAATCAATGTCCTCTTCTCCGGTGCCGACTGCCTTACTTGTACATGGAGTCACCTGCCGGTGGTTTAGGGTGTGATCCGAGGTCTCTTCAAGGTCACTCTCATCAACTTGCTGAAATCCTTCATCTTTCCAAGAATTTCAGGCTCCCTTTTGGAACCATTGCTGTTGGGTTTCAGCCTTGGACAGCCAGTGAGGGACTAGCAGACACTTGAGCTGGACACACAAGGATCTATGCTGATATTTTCAGCAGGCACCCATTTTTTAAGTGTTTGGTTGTATAGTGAATATTTTCATGCCAGGCTGGTTCTTTCTTCCCTGTGTGACCCCATTACACTGAGGGCTAAAGTACTGAAGCGTTAGATAGGGATGACCTTCGCCTCAACACAGAAGTCATCATTTTGTGTATTGCATTTGCAAACTCACAGGGCAGTTATGCTACAATGTGTCATGATAAAGGTCGATATAAAATGCCAACAGGATCATGAGAGCAGAAACAAAGCATTGTGCTGAGCTAGGGGAGAGGTGGATCAGCCAGGAGCCCAGAGGGAGTGGAGCAGAGTCTGGAGACATGAGTAAGACTTCACAGCAAACCAGGGGCAAGTGTATTGGAGGCAGAGAGAACACCATGTACAAAGTTCAAGGGTGTGGAAGTGTGTGGCCTCTTGAGGGTCAGCAGGTAATTGTCATACCTACAGGATTCTGTTGAATTGGGGGACAGGAGGACAAAAGACGGAAGCACAGAGGTAGCGCTTCTTGGCTCGTGGGTTCTCCACCACGGGACTATTAACATTTGAGTCCACACAGTTCTTTGTTATGGGGGCTGCCCTGTGCATTATAGGATATTGAGCAACAACCCTAGTTTCTACCCACTTGATGCCAGTAGCAGCCCCCTCCACTCCTAACATTCAAAAGGTCTCTGGACATTACCAGGTGCCCCCTTGAAAGTGGGAAGGGGAATCACCCAGGCTGAGAACCAGTGGTGTAGTATAAGTGCTATGGGATTTTTGTTGTGTGTCTTCAAGTTGACTCCAACTCATAGCAGCCTTACACTGAGCCTACAGGACAGAGTAGAACTGCCGCATACAATTTCCTAGGTTGTACTCTTTACAGGGTTCCTTTTATAAGATAGAGATGACCCCAAATGGATAAGGAATAGATATTTGTTGAATGAGTAAGTGAAGGGAGCAAAGGGAAAAGGATTGGAAAAGAGAAAGGATCCATTCTCTGAGACAAGAAGGAATATGGAAAGGACTGATGAGCCCAGCAGGCATTTAAAGGAGGAGGAGAGAGAAGCTGGAGGAGTTTGCCTGAATTCAGAAGTAAAGGTCATTTTGAGAGGTTCCGAGGAAAAGGTGGGTTTGGGGTTTGAGAAGAATGGGTTAGAGTCCAAGGAGCTGCTAGGAAGCCTGGAAATTGGCCCAAAGAGAGATGCGCCCACTCCTGGAGTACCTGGAAAGACACTGGGGCACCCATGGGGCTTCCTGTTATTTTAATAGCTATGTGTTTCAAGTGCATCAGGAGAAAAAAAAAAAATACTGGTTTTCTATGTAGAGTGATTAAAAGTTCCATTGGAAGTATCTTTGGAAAGGAGTTAAAAAGCAAGTTCTAATGAAGCCCCTGGAGCACAGTTGTGAGCAATGAAGATTGGAAATAGGAGCGCATGGCAACTCCTTCCACACCAGCCAAGCCTGTGTTCTGGATCCACTAACGTTGGCCATGCCTCCAACCTCTTCACAAACCATCCCCAGATCTCACACCAGCAGCCAAATCCCGTGTTGTCCAGGAAGGTGCCCCGCCCACCGCCTTCCAGGCAGCCTCCTCAGGGGGCTGCAGGTCACAGTCATGGGTCCCACTGCTGTGAATGCTGCACCCTCAGTGAAGTCAGCCTCACTGTATCCAGCTGTTAAACACCCTCCACTTCTTGTGTCTTGGCTCCCCACAGATGTGAGGCTTCTGACAGGAGTTACATCTGCCTTCTTCCTTGGTCCAGGCACAGGGCCCATGGGAGGAATGCCAACGGGAAGGGCGGGAGGACCAGATATGTGTCATCCCTGGGCAAGAGCCTTTACAGCCAGTCATCTATTTAATTTCAAGTCAAGTTAATGACCTGCTAATGACTTGGCTGTTTCTGAGAGGAATGCTGCAGTGATACAAAGCTTACGTATAAAAAACTATTCATTTGCTTCCTCTGTGTGTCTCTAAGTGCATTCACAGGGATAAGATAGGGAAGGTCTTGCTCTCCAAATCGTAATACGGAGTGGTCTTGTTACCACCTTGGGGAGACACATGGCAAAGGGACTTGGGTCATAGGGCTCCATCCTTCCCCCCACCCTCATCACTGCAACAACAAATGCAATGCACTACTGCAGAGTTGGATCCAACTCCTAGCGACCCCTCCTTGGGTTTCTAAGGCAGTATCACTACGGAAGTAGATTGCCCAACCTTCCTTCTGAGGTGTGGCTGGTGGGTTTGAACCGCCAGCCTTCTGGTTAGTATGTGCAGGTGTGGACTGATGCAGTATGTGTATGTATGACTGTAGGGGGTGTCACTGAATTTTCACGACTTTGAAAAATAGAAATCTTGAACTAGGGGCAGAATAACATTCTCTAAAATAAAGAAAATTGGAGTCCTGGATGGTAGCAGCTTCACGGCGATCCCGGAATAGCAGGGACAGGCTGTTCTGTGCTGATGGTTCCTAAGCCAGTGTTTTTGACACCCAGCAACGTTAATTTAGCATCTTAATCAAGGCTGTGGCACTCTTTGCAGCCCTTGAAGCATTACCTCCCCAAGAATTCACTCTAAGTACTGTAGGGTTTTTTAAAAAAAGATCCTAGGTACCACAAATTGCACTTAGCAACTACTCAACCATATTATTTCCTTCCTGTCTAATGTAATTTTTCTGTTTTTCTGTATAAAGGTCTTCAGCTATTTTTAAAACTCTAGCCCCCTCCTGAATTAACCTGGCTTTGACTTGTTTTTAACAATCAAACCAGCTACCAACAAGAAGGAGGCAGTGCTTCTAACTAGTTTCTAAGTAATCAGATGTAAAGGCCATCATTCAAAAAATTGTTCAGTTGGGAGGTACAAGTTGTGGGGAGAGTGGGGAACCGGATGGGACAGGGGCTTACCCTGAAAATTAGGCCAGGACAAGGCTATCATCTCCCGCCCCTCCCTTCTTAGTCATCAATTCACTTACACAACAAATAATTATTGGGAAGGTACAGGGAAATCCGTGAGCAAGTCCAGCACGGGCCTCACCCTCATTAGCTTCCGTTCTAGTCTAGGTGAAACAAATAAACGAGTTGGTTCCATTCATTCATTCCACAAATAAGTATTGATTATTTCATCCGGCAGTCAGTCACTGTTGAGTCTTTACTGTATACAAGGCAAGAGAGGAAGACCCTTGCCTTCAAGGATGTACATTGGGGGAAATTCAACAGATAAGTAAACAAGATTATCTCAGAGTTGTAAGCGGTAAGAACAATGCAACCAAACGTTGTAGAGGAGGAATTCTCCAGGCTAGAGGATCTACTAAGGTAACAGCGATCGTGGAGGGTGCCGCTGGGTGTACACCAGAACCAAGGCCCTCCGATCCAAAGCCAGCGCAGTGCCTGCCATGAAACTTCTATCCATCCAACAACCATGCCCCCTTCTCCAGCTCCCTAGATGCACCCCTCATTTGGGAATTAAACCAGACTTATGTTAACTCCGCCAAATGTTGTGTTATAGCCACACCAAAGGTCACCATCTCCTGGAAGGCAATTTGAACGGAGAACAGAGCTGACTGACAGGTTGGTTGGGTAGTTCATGGATTGGTTGTTTGGCCTCAGACCCACCACAGCCCGGATGAAGACAGGAGGCGGGCGGAACATTCTACCAGGGGCACCAGAAGACTTTGCTGAAGTGAACAACAGGGGGATTATGTGTGCAAGTGGGCTGACTGGACCCCTCCACCGGCCTCCCAAGAGAAGACAAGGACCGGCTGGGCCACAGTCAAGAGCAATCAACCAGCCCGCCCGCCGGCTGGGTCAGCCCCAACTCGGTCAGAGGTTGGGCGCGCCTGGAGACTCCCGCGAGGGGGCGGGGCAGCCGCGTGCCGCGCTTACGTAGCACAGCGCCCGCGGTGGCGGCCCCCGGCGCTGCCCCGGAACTGCGCCGGCGCGGTGCGCCCGGCGCTAATAGGCGGGGCCTCTTTGCGCCGCGCGCAAGGCTGGGGCAAAACCCGGACGGGATAGGGCGTGGGGCAGCGCGTCGGGGACGTCCCGGCGTCGACCCACAGCGCGTGCGCGCTGTCAGCCGGCCGGGTGTCTAGGGGCGGGGCGGGGGCAGGTGTAGCTTCTTTGCCTCCTTGTCCCCTAGCGCCGCCCGGACATCGTGCAGGTCGCCGGCACCATGAAGATCTGGACCTCTGAGCACGTCTTTGAGTGAGTTTAGAGTGTGGGTGGGCAAATGCGGCCTAGAGTCAGGGCGAGGCGGGAGCGCCCTCAGGAAGTTTCCAGGCGTTGGGGCCAGGGAGGAAAGCTGAACCTGGGCCCTACAGGGCCAATAGGGGTGGGGGGCGTCAAGGTCATGATCCCAGGGTGGCCAGGCCGCCCTGGGCCCCGTGGGTGGGTCCCATGGAGAAGTCCCCAAGACCACAGACCCCGCTACGGGCACAGGGGGCGAGAGAATGGGCCACTTCCGGTCTGCCTTCCCAGCAGGACAGGCCTGCAGGGGTCGCGGGGGTTCGCAGAGCACGTGGGCGCGGCTGCACGCACGGTTTCGGGAGAGGCCCCTAGTTGTAACTTCCGGCCTTGCCAAACCTTGCTGGAATCTCCAGGATCTCAGGGAAGGCGTGGGCTTTGCGAGTAGCTGCCCATCCCCCACCCTTGGGTGGAGTTCTTACCTTGGAATGTGAATTTCCGGTGAGCTCAGGCGACCAGGGTTCGAAACCTTCAGCTTAGCTCGTTGACCTAGAGAATTAGCCTTGGATTTGGAGTCCAGAGTTTAGTCTCGCTCTAACAAGCAGTGTGTGACCTTGTGTTACTCATTGTCATTTGAGAGGTGGGGATGATGGTGTCTTTAGGGGTTACCAATCAGTGTGAGGGAACTTCAGTAATACTTTTTAGTTTGTGTGAAAGTTTGAGTAACAAAAATAGGCCGTAAACCAGTTGGATGTTGGGAATTAAAGTTAGGGTTAAGGTTACGGTTAGGGTTAGCTTCTGGTTCAATAATTACATATACAAAAGATTCACAAACATTAGCAGCAATCATTTTTTCTCTAAATAAGTAATTTCCCGTCTAACCCATCTTCTCACTGACTTAAGATGCCACCTGTGTCATAAACACTGTTGTGATTCCTGCTGGACTCATTTCCTGAGCTGTCCTCTGTGTTCACTGGTCTTGCTGTCATTGCCACACTGTTTGAATTATTATAGGTCTGTGTTATGTTTTACCTCAATTTTGAAAAGTTTCTGAGGACAATTTTAAAAGAAGTTGAAACGATTTTATATACATGGTGAATCGGATGCATCTCAGTGTCCTCAGTATCCTGGAAAGTGTAGGATATTAAGATTGCAAGGAACCTTTGTTCCCTCCCTAATGTTTACGGTCTTTGAGAAGTACAGGAAGAACTTCCTTTTGTAGTCTTTGATGTTCTACTCAATTTGGGCACTTGGGACTTGGATGGCTTCTTTTGATCCTATTCTCACTTGCAAGCTTCAGAAGTTCTTAACTTCCCTGCCCTCTTCTCTCTTTGCCCCCTACTAGCTCTCTACTCCTTTTGCCTTTTTCTCCAGCCTTTCCCTCTCCTCTTTGCCTTCAGTATAAAATGTTCAGCAAGAGCCTGCTGTCCGCTTTCCTGTCTTATTTCATCAGTAATTCTTTATGGTTTGTTTGTTTTTTGGTTTTTTTTTTTTGGGGGGGGGGGTCTTTGTTACCGATCTCTGACATTTGTTGAAGGCTCTGGGACTGTCCTCCCAGAAGATACACACACTCACAAAAACACTGTCCAGGTTCTGGGAGAGGCAGCTCTGATGTGTGCTTTTTCCCCTGCTATCCTGGGCTGTTTGGCCCGGGCCCAGCTGGTACATATCTGGGGCCTACAGTCTGTCCCATCAGCTCGGTCCTCTCTTGAACTTCAAGTCCTTCCTTTCAGGTGCTTGCCAGGCACCTCTACCCATACGTCTCGTGGCACATTACAGTCAGCAACCCTGAAACCAAGTCCTCATTTCCTATTCCATCTTGTATTCTGTGTTTTGTTTTCATCTTAAGGAAGTCACTATCTGAGAATGGTATGTCAATGGTCATTCTGTGCCTTACGCCTTGGAAGGAAGCCTAGCATGTCGTTGGCACCTAGTGGAATCCATTCATTGACTCCTTCAAAGCCCACGAGTGCCTTGTGTGTCCTGGGCATCATGTTGTGGTTGGTGGCATCTTGGTAAATGTGGCCGATGTTGGTGCTACCTCAGTGGCATTAACAGTGTGCCCACCTTGTTTTCTAGGTGAGGAAATTGGGGAGCTCAGTGATGGTAACTCACGGGCCCCTTCTCCCAACTTTGGCCTCTGGGACTAGGTATCTTTCGGTGTGAGACCTTTTACACATAATTATTTAAAGGTTAATTGTTTACCATGCAGTTGCAGTTAATGACTGGGAGACGGTCGTAATACACATCCTTTGTATGTTTGAGCTAGTTATCTGTTAGGTGAGACATCTTAGTCCAAGCTAAGTCAACCTCACTGTTTTCAGGTTGGCTCAGAGAGGAGAGCGACACTAAATTGCAAATAATGCATAACACCCTTCAACCATGTGATTTTTAATTTGTTTGAAGGGGTAGGGGAAGAGATAAGTGCATGGAAGCCCGTTAACCGTGGTACATAGCTGGCTGAAGACCGGGAGAAGGTGCACCGGATCTTCATTTGAGATGGTTGCCTTGGTAACAGTGGGGGGGGGCTGCATCACGTTTCTCTGTGGGGACTGGAGCGCTGTGGAGCAGCTCCTTGTGGATACCTGCCGGGACTGGCAGGGAAGGTTCGAGATGACCCACAGGAGGAGGCTTGTTGTAGAATATTAGAACATGAAAAACGACGTGTCTGCTTGTCCCGAGATCGGGGGAGTGGACGATGCTGACGCTTTCTTTCTGGCGAAAAAATGGAGTTGGCAGTCTGAGTCCTCTGGAAAACTGAAACAGAATGTCTGCCTGTTTTGCTGTTAGAAAAGCTAAAGTCCCTCTGGGGTTTGTCAGTCATTGTGGGTGGAAACATCCCCTCCGGGTCTGGTCTTGGACGTTGGCGCACAGGGCTTCGAATCCGCTCCAGAGGCCCAGGTCGCCCCTAAGGCTCACGTCGTTAATGAGGGCTCATTCATGAAGCCTGTCTTTTGTATGCGCCTCTTAGTCGCATAAGTTGTGAAATGAACAAGTGTTCGTGGTGTTCACCCAAGTACAGGCAAGAAAATAAGGAGGCTGCCACTTCTTAGATGGTCTGACAGCGTTTCCATGGCACTTCCCGGTGATAGGTGAGTGCTCATTGTATTAAGAGCACACAAAGAGCCCTCGCCAGGGGATCAAGTCACCCTCTTTCAAAACAAGTCAGAACTACTCCTTTGAGAATGAATAAAAATAGGCGCAGAGGGCCCACTGTTACTTATTACCTTAATACAGAGAAGAATGTATTTTCAGTATCATGGTATTTAAATCAGTAATGCTTTGGACCTTTTTGCAGTAGCTGTAAGAATTGACGGTGCCTGGGAGTTCTATTCCTGTTGTTGGTGCTTTTCAGCTTCGTGGAATTGGGATCAGAGCACAGAACTTTTTTTCTCTTTTGCTGTTCTTTCTGTGGAGTATAATTTGTGATACGTTTCTGTGTATCTTCTATGATTATAGAAACACAGGTTACAGTGCAGGTAGATAAAGAAGAACAGTAGGGGTTGGTGTTGCCCTGCAGCCGCAGGCTGCGACACCTGGTGAAAATGTCAGCCAGTGCTCCCCAAATCTTCATTTTGCTGGCATTTCGGAAAGTCATTTTTCCTGAGTCAACTAACAACTTCAGTTATACAGAATAAGTTGCTGGGTTACACAGGTGTCTGAGCCGTGTGCGTATCTTACAAGGCCTTTTGCTTCATGCTGGCAGCCACCCGTGGGAGATGGTCACAACAGCTGCGATGCAGAAATACCCCAACCCGATGAACCCCAGTGTGGTTGGCGTCGACGTCCTGCACAGACACGTGGACCCGTCCGGCAAGCTGCACAGCCAGCGACTTCTCAGCACCGAGTGGGGCCTGCCCTCCATTGTGAGATCTGTGAGTGCCAGCAGTCACCACACACGGGCCCCTGCGGCGAGCTCACTGAGCCTCAGTGGAACTTCAGATAGGTCGTGGGGGCACATTCTGAGTGTCGTTTTTGCATCAGTCCAAACTGTATTCTGAGGCGCGTGAGCTGGGATGAACTGGCAATGTTAGTCTTCGTGGAGGAGCTGGCAAAGCCTAAAGGAAGCAGGTTGGGTGGCCTGGAGCAGTTAGTCTGCTCTCCTGGCTGTGGCCAGCAGCTGAGAGCAGTAGTAAGAGTTAGCAGGCGTGTCTGGCCCTGCCTGATAGCCGGCCGTTCCTTTGGTCAGTGGTGGTTCACACGCTCTCAGTAGAGAGCGTATTCTTGGACCTTGCTGTCGACACACTCGTGCCTAAGTCGGGTTCTCTTCCCTGACAAACGTGATCCCGTTCCTTACAAGCAGCAGGCGTTAGTGCGCTGATTGTTAACGACCACGACACTAGAATGCCAGCTTACCATAATAGACAGAAACACTGGGGTGACAGCTGCTTCCGGTTTTGTGTGGGTAGACTCCCCTTCTGGAAGGTGGGTGCACTCACAATATGCAGGTGTGTGGTTCTGAGCAGGAATGATCCCTTCCTCTGCCCAGACCATGGCTCTGGGTAAAGGGGGCACAGCTGCATGGACTCAGGGTGGGCCTAGGGGCCACACAGTGCACCCTCTGCCAGGAGCTGGCTGTGTTTCTGTCTGAAGCTGGAAGCCCCCACAGCCTCCGTAGGAACACAGGTGCCTTGGGCTCTCATTCCTGAGATGCCATGTTTCCCCAAATCCGTGAGGTACCCACGTCCTGCTCTTCTGCATGCGTTTGCAGTGGGCCGACCCCTCACTGGCTCTGGGTGAAGGGTTTCGAGCTGTCAGTGGCCACTCCTCTGTGGGGTGTGGATTCTTGTTAGTTGCAGGTGGACTTCCTATCTGACCTCTGTTTCCTTGTGTTTTTTATGAAACAGATTTTTGGTTAAAGACATAACATTTTTGCCTTTGAAACAAAAAACTGACCCACTTGGTAGCAGTCCCTTCTCCCTCTGATGACTTGTTTTCAATGTCTGTCTTAGCTTATTGGTGCCGCAAGAACCAAAACGTATGTGCAAGAGCATTCTATAGTCGATCCTGTAGAGAAAACCATGGAACTTAACTCTACGAATGTAAGTGTTGGCTCCTTGGTTTCAACTTAGCAGCTTGACTTCATCTTCTGTGTGTGGTATGTTCATTGTAGATGAGTGCCTGTTCTTCCATGCAGTTTAGCAAATCACCAGTTCCCTGCTACACACCTGTCCCCTGCATAGCTGTCCCCAGTCCACCCCCACAGTCCTAGCCAGGAGTAAACCACAGTGAGATGGATTCAGGGATGTGTACTTAGTCGTAGGAGTAATAGGGTGTTTTTCTCAAATGTGTTGATTTTATTAAACAGTTGGCAGTAAAGTGAAATTTCAGCTCTACTTCTGTAGTAATAGCAAAGTTGGTGTGTTGTTGAGTTTTGTGTTGTTTTGCATATTTAGCACGTGCGATTGTGGTTGGAGGGTTAATTTTGGAAATACTTTTCATCTTAGTTTCCCAAATGGCTTGGCTGTGTTTGTTGTTTCTTTCTACAGATTTCATTCACAAATATGGTTTCGGTGGATGAGAGACTTATTTACAAACCACATCCGCAGGACCCTGAAAAGTAAGTCATAGGGGTTTTTAACACCATTTTACAGTGGTTTAACTTTTTTTACCCCGTGTTTCTTGGCGTACAGAGATGAGTTGCTCTGGAGCTGTCGGAATGTGCTTTGTTCTAGAACTATTCTGACTCAGGAAGCCATAATCACTGTGAAAGGCGTCAGCCTCAGCAGTTACCTGGAGAGCTTAATGGCAAACACGATATCGTCGAACGCCAGTAAAGTGAGTAAGGCTGCTGCCGATCACTCCGTGCGCCTGGTCTCTGTGTGGGGGGCATGTGGGCTCGCCACTACTACACGCTGAGAGCCGTGGAACATAAGGCAGCTGCTTGCGCAGCTCTGAGTCTGACTCTTAGCCAGTCTGGCAGCCCTGGCACCTTACTTCCTCACCTGGGCAGTGAGGGTTTATTACCTGCCCTACGGGGTCCAGGCAAGGAGCAGATAGGAATGTAGGCGAAGCCTGTGGCCCAGGGCCCAGCACAGCGGCAGGGTTCCGGTGTGGAAGCTGTGTTGTCGGCACTATTCTCCACCTTGTTCGTTATGGTACTCCCCCGACATCTGTTTGAGACATTATTTCCCTAATGGCCCTCCCATGAGATTTTAATGTCACAGAACTGTGTCTTCATATATCAAAAGAGTTTTTTTTGCCACCACCACCCGAGTGCATTTTTGTCCCACTGAGAATCCCCCCTGTTGGGAATGCGTGGTTTAAGAGGAAGTTTAGGGAAAGAGACACTTCCTGCGCTGTCTTACGGCTCATGCTTAGTAGAGTGGCTCGGCAGTCCGGCTGCTCACTGATCTCTGTGCTGGGCGAGGCGGGGCTGCAGTGGGCAGCAAAGCCAAAGCCCTTTCCTCACCCATCTCAGTACTCGTAAGCCTGTCGTTAGGGAGAAGAAGGCGTGCCAAGGCTGGGCTGGGCCAGCCAAGGAGCGTTTCTCTCCGTGACGTCCCTGCTGAGTGCAGAAGGAGGGCAGGGTTTGTCGTGAGGGTGCTGGAGAAGTGGGCCGGGCACAGGAGCTGTGCGCACTGGTCCTGAGACAGGAAGTGGGAGGGGCGCGTCTCACCCCTCCTCCACGCGCAGAGGGAGTCAGGGACCAGGTCCTGTAGGGCCTCAAACAGGATTTTGATTAAAACAGAGAATTCTCACCCCAAAACCACACAGTAAGACATCACTGTCATTCACTTGTAGACTCTATTTTGCCTACAAGATAAAAGGTTAGTTTCTAGATGGAGCCAGTCGCTCAAGGCATTGGCTATTTGGTCAGTATGCGGGAAAAGCCCCAGACAGAAACAGTTTGTCCCGTGAGGTTCACGCAGGATTTCTGGGACCCTCTTGTGTCTTCCCGACAGGCTGTTGATGTGCTTTGCTCTCACTCGGCATCACTTAATGTACTGACTTTCATTTAAGGGCCGAGAAGCCATGGAATGGGTAATCCATAAATTAAACGCTGAGATTGAAGAATTGACAGCCTCGGCCCGAGGAGGCGTGAGGACACCGATGGCGGCAGCGGCGTTTGTAGAGAAATGACAGTGACTGTGGTTCAGCACCAGGGCCCAGGTCTCCAACTGGCAGTGTATTTATTTGTTATTTAAGAAATACAACTATAGTTTAGGTAGACTTTTTTTTTTTTTTTTTTTAAATAAGCTGGAGAAAGTCTGTGACTTTGATCAAAACGAAGAGGTGCAGGGCTTCTAACTAAGGGATCATCTGAAAATATTGTTATTTGAAATGACCATCTGATTTGGAGAGTTCCAGTATTATGTGGAAGTTAATGACGTTTAAAAAAAGCACTTTGAAATTGCTCTTGGCCTATTAGATCTCCTGAAGGGAGGATATACGCAAGCTTTCCATCCACTGGGACTCTGGCTTTGGACCAACCCGAGGACACGCAGGCTGCCCTGCTGCACTGAACTCCAACTGCATGCATGGAGAGATGTACTTGAGAAGGAGAAATTGTAGACTTTTAAAAGCCATATTAATTTGAAATACCTTGCTCTGCTGTAAACCACCGTTAAAAACCCACAGTGTTTTCATTGGCACAGTTAATAACTGATGTCTTTGGAGTGAAAGCTACCACTGAAGTAATGTGTGATTCCAGCAAAAATCCGACCTTCCTGTCGTGGAGAGGACTGTATTGATTTGCCAAAGCTTTGTAACTTAGGACACCCAGGACCTTCCTCGGGTTTGTACTTGCAGAAATCTTTGTGATTCAGTGTGCTGCACTGTGGGCTGGTTATGTTAACCGAAGAATCAAGTCATTACCTGAGTTTTGCAGCACTCCAGACTTAAACAGAACAGCTGTTCACAGCTCTGAGCAGTTCACATTTGCCTAACTTATAAATTGCCATGTGTCAAAATCATGGTTCTGTAATTGCTAAAGCCTGGTACGTCAGGTTATTTGAATATAATTACTTTCTGAAGTAATTGTGACCACAAAACATCTTTTTTACATGAAGAGCTGTACATCATTTGAAATGACTCAAATGATGTCTTGATCTGAAGCATAAATTCCAGGTACTTAATGTTTTTAATAATACGGTGCCACTGCAGGGTGTAGGGGGTGGTGGGGAAGAGAATTGGAATACGAAATAGAAGGACCTCAGCTAACCACAGGTTGACTTGCACTGCAGCTTTTGTTGATGCGAAATCCCCGTTTCGGGTGCCAGAGGGCAGCTGCAGTGGGAAAAACAGTCCGGTAGCTGTATTTTGTTTCCTACTTTGTAGCAGGTAATTACCAGCACTGAGCAATCTCCTTGATGCTTGTGATTGTTGCCTTCAGAGTGGTTTTGTTAAAAGGTGATTCACCCCTACCTTTATTTCATAAAACACTTAATGTATGTAATAAACTTCTGTCGGGTTTCCTATCAAAGAGACCAGCTAATATATGTACTTTAACCAGAGAGACAGTATACCAACCTATTGACAAATTAGTTTTTTTTCTACTTAAAATACTGTTTTGCTTCAGGTTTCTTGGGACATTTGTAAAAGCAGGTTGAGTCCAATAAGATTTCTGATTATTTTTTGTAACTGGAGATGGTTTTTATAAATGTAGTAACATTTCAGCTAAACAAAACATTGCTAAATATTGGTATTTTATAAAGTTGTGTGATTTCCATGAATTAGATTTGTTCTGAAAAAGGTGTGATGTCCTAATGATAAAGATTTCTAAAATCATTACCTCTTGTTAATAGTAATTTTTGGCTTTTACCTGTTAAAATACAGTTAGACAGCAAACAATTGCATTTAAGAGGATAGACTATAGATTAAAGACTTGGAGTATTTAGCATCTTATCCTACGTAATATTAAAAATGTAAGTTTTGTGAATTAAGGGAAACCTTTCTTGTTAATAAAAACTTTTTAACTATGACTTTTCTGATTACAATTTTTTAAAAATACAGGTGGAGAGCAAAAAAAAAAAAAAAAAATCCATGCCCTGGAGGCACACCGTGATTGCTAAAATGCTTCTGCTTGCCCCGTTAGGGTTAGGGTTAGGGTTTCCTTCCATAAGGAACTTTGGAGGGAGGGTTTTTCATCGCCCCGAGCTCGCTGGCTCCTGTGCCTCCAGCTTTCCCGCCCAGTTTTTATTCCCACTCCATCCCTGGCCATGATCTTGACCCCTCCTAGGTTACATCCTAAAACCACACAATGGGGGAATCAGCACGCTTGTCAGGGCAGGTTCCACTCGCGTTTCCAGCTTGTGTATTTTTAATGTACTCCGGGGAAAGCAGGGACGCTCAAGTGGTCTTTGCGTTTCAGTAATTAGGACACGGCTGCCTTCCTACAGGAGATGGGAAAACCCAACAGCCGCTCCCTGGAAATGTGATAAAGGGCCGGTCGCCGCAGTGAAAGGCATCTCTGATGCGCGGCAGTTGAAGCCGACTGGCGCGGCCGCCTCCGCGCTCCCTCGTCCCCTAGCCTGGCCCTAACCCAGGCGGCGGCGCACTGGGCTGAAGGTCAGGTACAAGGCCGCTACCCTAAGCCGATGCGCAACCCCGAGCCGTCCGGCGCTGGCTTCGCCGCCCGGCTTCCGCATGACGTAGGACCCCGCTCGCCCGTTCGCTCGGAGCGGGAGGCCGGCACCAGCCATACCCTCTTGCCCCACTCGCCCCCGCCGGGGGCACTACGGAAGCTCAGGGGGCACAAACTCGGGGCCTTTGCGGAGCCAATCGGCGGCCGCGGCCAGCCGACCCGCGCGGGGATTGGCACCCGGGCCCGGGCCGCGCATCTGCATTGGCTCTGGAGCCTGAGGGGTTTCTGCGGCGGGGCAGCAGGGGCCCTAACTGGAGGGCGGGGCAGGGTAAAAGCGGCGGGATTGGCAGGTCCGTGCGGCCCCGCCCCTTCCGCTCCGCAGTCCTGACCTTCCGCTGGTGGGCTGCCCGCTGCGCCGACACTGAGACTGTGTCCTCGCGATTCGGGCCGACGAGCCTCCCTCTCGCGACATCATGGTGGCGTACTGGCGACAGGCTGGGCTCAGGTAGGCCCCGGTCCGCGGGGAAAGGGTGCTGGGCGGGCCCGACCCGGGTCAGGGGTCACTGCGAGTGCAGAGGGCCAAGTGACCCCCCGACCGGAGAGGCACTGCCCCCGCGCGCGCGCCGCTCTCGGTTCCCCGACTGCTCGCCAAGGTGGCGGCTGCGCATAAAGGACGGGCCCGCGCGCTGCGAGGGACGTGTGCTCAGACCTCCGTCGATTCGCACGACCTTGGGATTGCAGGCGATGCCCATTGCTCTTCCTGGCCTTGTCTATGGAGTAGGCCCACGGATCCCGCCCCTTCCTATCTCTTAGCGCATCGGACGGAACAGCGACGGGAACCTTTGTAGATGTGAAAGAACTGTCAAGAAGAGCGCGCCTCCCGTCTAGGGGAGCCTTGCTGTGTCTGAATTATGTGGCGTGAACCATGCTGTGGAAGCAGTACGCTTGCGTACATTTTGGGAAATTGAAGGGGTGCTGGGATGGCTCTGACCACTGCCAGCATCCCTGCCCTTGCCAGCTTTGAGGTGGGGTGTTTAATAGTGTTGGGTCTTCATCTTCGACTAACCCGGTGGATCCCAGGTTTCCTTATGCGGAAAGTGGATGAAGCCACACGGGCCTTTACCGAAGGAGCGCTGCACAGAGGAGCGTGATGGTCCTCTCCGGGAGATGGTGGAGATTGTGTCTGGGTCAGGGGACAGCCACTGGTCTAGGTGTCACGCCTGATTGCTTGACCCGTGCAGGAGTTGAAGGGGACACAGCTTGTCATCTGGGTAGAGTGGTCCCTTCCAGCCTCACCTGCGGGTGTGATCAGGGTGCGATAGATGGAAACCCATGTTCCCTGCGGTCTGAGGTCAGCATAGTTCCGCAGCATCGCACAGATTACCACCGTGGTTAGAGCCCGTTAGGTGAGCACGCATTCTGCTCACCTGCTCAGAGTCACAACTCTGGCAGTCTTTTTTTTTTTTTTTTGGTCGCTCACGTCCTGACCGTCAAGGCAGTTATTACTCTCCCTTTGTTTCATTCTGTTGCTTTTACAGGTGAATAAACAAGCCTCAAAAGTTGAAGGTCACCCTCTTAGTAAGAGTGGAAGCCAGCATTGGCACTCTCATTTGTGGCCCCCAAAACAGACTCCAGACCATGAGTGGAGAGGCAGGACTCCCCTCCCCTTCCTGTTTTCAGAAAGCCTCAGAAGTGAGCTTACATCTTTGGGGGAATAAGGTGTTCATGGGAATCCGTCTACCAAACAGGAAGCTGGTAGACGATGGTATCTGCATACTTTTCCGTTGAATTTAGAAACCTTGATGAGGAGGTAGTTTCAGTGGCTGAAGTGGGAAGCAGAATCCAGTAGTCTCAGAAAAGCCCTTAAATAATTGGTCAGAAGAGAACTGTATTAACCCAAAACAGTATTTAATTAGTCACACGCTACCTAACATATGTTCAGACAGTGTCCGACCCCTAGAAAGCCTATTGTATTAAACATTTGAGGTACCTTCAGTGATTTGTAATAATAAGCAGGTACTACTTTCTGCATCAGTATTATTAGTGTATCATGTTAGAGGTGTTTCTGTGTAATCTGGAGGCTGATTTTATATAATGTGGTGTTCACATAACATTCTGTTTCACAGAACATACTGGGGATGTTATTCTTAGCATGATTGTATATATATGTTACCTTTTAAGAATAATGTACAGATTTTAAATAGAAAAAAGGAAAAAAAAAACAGTCAAGTTATAATCTGTTAACACTTTGGTCTATTATGTTATCTGTGCTAGGAGATTTTAAAAAATAATTACCCATCTTTTATTTTAACTATTACTTGATTCAAGAGAAAACAGTACAGAGAAGAAAAGCCCAAGATGACCCACCCAGACAATTTCCTGCCGGCCTGTTGACCTGAGTCCTCTTTCCGTCTCGTTCTAGTGCGCAGCCAAACCAGAAATAAAGGCCTGGGGAGAAAACCCAGTCACCCGGCAGTCTGGCTGAGTCATTGCTAGGTAACTTTCTGTCTCCTCTCATTTTTTCCAGCTACATCCGCTATTCCCAGATCTGCGCAAA